TGACTCTGATCAGTATGAGGATGACAACAACAGCAGTGACAGAGATTCAAAGGAGAGAAGGCATAGAGGTCGTGACTCTGATCAGTATGAGGATGACAACAACAGCAGTGACAGAGATTCAAAGGAGAGAAGACATAGAGGTCTTGGCTCTGATCAGTATGAGGATGACAACAACAGCAGTGACAGAGATTCAAAGAAGAGAAGACATAGAGGTCCTGGCTCTGATCAGCATGAAGATGACAACAACAGCAGTGACAGAGATTCAAAGGAGAAAAGGCATAGAGGCCCTGGCGCTGATCAGCATGAAGATGGCATATGTGATACAGGTTCTAAGAAGAGATGTCGACCTGAAGATTCAAGCTCTGATTTGGAAGACGATAACATTACCCGGGATATTAATAGTAGCTCCCTTTACATTAAAACATACAAAATAAAAAAAAACAAAATGAATCAAGGTCAGAGTAGAGGTGTAAGAATTTATGACAACCGTCATGCTTGCTACTTTTGTGAGAAAGTTGTGCTACACATAAAGGAACATTTGAAAACACACAGAAACCAAGACATGGTTAAAGACATTCTCAAAAGTGATCAGCCTAATTTTACATCATTGAGAAAGTTCGGAGACGACCGTCATAACAGGAAATGCGTGGAAAAGAAACAGGGAGAAATTATCCTGGCCAGGCGGCCAAAGGGGAAGTTTGATGTCACAGATTATGGTCCCTGCCCTAATTGTAGGGAATGGGTTATGTTGGATCATTTAAAGCTTCATTATAGACATTGCCAAAGCCATGAAAAAAACACTGTAAAGATGCGAAGGAAAGACCTGGTGTTTCAAGCTCAGGTTTTAGCTGGCCATCTCAAGGATGAACCATCATCACTCATGAGTAAAGAAGTTCTGCCAATTATGACCAGGGATGTGATGTCCCAAACTGCCCAAAATGATCCACTTGTAATGGCACTGGGAGAAAGTTGGTTAAGGCGTAACAGAGGAAATGTTGAAAAAAGAAAGTATTATGCAAGTTCCAGAATGAGGCTATGTGCAAGGCTTCTCCTTGCCCTTAGAGATACAAAGTCTAACAAGGATGAAAAGACTTATCTAGAAGAAGGAGATGATGATGAGGGAGACGGGGATGTTAAGTGTGAGGCACTTGTCCCAAAAGCAGATGATTCCAAAGGGTTATGGCATTATCTGAAGCCCAACCATTTTGATGATATTGTTTTAGCTGCAATAAAATGTGCAATTCCTAATGCAGATGACGAGGATGATTTGCTTGCCCCTAGCAATGCTATTATGTTAAAATACGACCTGCATCGTCTTATCAATAGTAAGTGGGCTATGATAGTAAAAAATGGATCTGCAGATGACGAGGAAGCAAAAAATTGCAAGACATTGCTAGCACTGATGGACTTGGAATGGGAGGAAAGAGTAACAAGGTTTGCTCGATTGGTGTTGGCACGTAGGAAATATGAATATAAAAATGAACTTCCCTCTCCGAAGGACATTGAACAAATCACAAAATACCTGAGGAAAGAACTTGACCATCTAGAACTTGTTGCAGATAATTTCAGGAGATTAGTTGCCCTATGCCAAGCCAGAATACTGCTTTACAACAAGCGGAGATCAGGAGAGGTTGAAACCATCAAGTGAGTGATAATTCCACATGGCTATTTCTGACTTTAAAATGTATGCTGTTGTATTGATTTTTAGCCCTCATCATCAAATGGAGGGGTATTCAAATCCCCCTTCGGCTGTGGTCTCTGTTGTCTGTCCATCCTTGAACAATTTTTGTACCACTATTTCTTGAAAGGTACTGGATGGTTCATTCTCAAATTTCATATGTAGGTTCCTCTTAGTCTTAAAATGTGCCCTTTTGATTTGGACACTGAAAGAAAAACAAACGAGCAGGGAACCATCCTAGATTTGACAGTTTAATGATTATTTCTATATCGTAGAGGAAAAACAAGGAAAGAAGAGAATAGAAGGAAAAAGGTCTAAGTTTTTAAAGAACAAATAAAGATCAAACGATGGTCGGCACCAAGATCCCTCTGGGATCTCTTGTATGTTCATTATTAATCATCGTTTTTAAAATTTGCTGTGAATATGTTCATGTTTCCTGTTTCCACTTATGAGGTCCAACTGTAGTAGATTGATTATCTGCAAATGCATTGTATTTGATTCAGTCTGAAAGTTGTTTGAAATACATTGTATTGCTTTGAAAGTTATGTGGGGGTTTACTGTATGTACTTGGGGTGACTTTTAAAGCTGTTGGGGCCTCTTGTTACATTAATGGAGTTGATAGGTAATGTTAATATACAAAATAATGTTTTATTTACACAGGCTTCAGTGTTATGCCTCAAGAAGCAAGCCCTCTGATGGTATTGATGAGTCCCTCGAGTCTGACCTTTCACCTGTAGAAAAGCATTTGCTAGAATCGCAGGAATTCCTTCGAGTGCGAGGAAAGGTAAAATACAAGGTTAACATTTATGTAGCAAGATGGATATTCTATCGAACTGTTGATGGCAGACCGATTGTCAAAGGAGTACATGGATTTATTGATTTATTTCCAAAATGTTGTTGGGGATCATGTAAAATGGTGGTTAGAAAAAGTTGGCAAATGTAATAACATGTGTTATACTTAGCAAGGTTTTGAGTCCGGAATGGATATACTAACTAGTATATGCATGCAAAAGATATAAATATGAATTCTAAAACAGGGATTGTATTCATGAATTCATTCTCATTATTAAGCATATATCTTGTTTCTGCTTCGAATTGATAATAAAGCAAATCATATCAATTTTTGGGAAATATTCTGAAGAGCCCAAACCCTACACTTGTATATACTGTTCAATGTATGCAATATATACTTGCATTATTTTACAATACTTTGGTGAGTAACAAAATTATTCATTTGATCATGAAATCTGTGCTTATAAGCACGAGTACAGATTCAGGAATACTGGCCCAGATGTTCATACTATTGATGTTAATGGAAGTGATAGGATATAAATACTGTAATAAGGAAGGAAAATGAAAGAAATATGAAGACAGTCAATCAAAATTAATCATTAATCAGCAGAATAAAAAAAAATGACAATTAAGTTTATATGAGTTGATGAAGGTGAAGGTTTATTTACATCTATCAGCATTGGAAGACTTTGGTCAGTACAATATATAGTTCTCAATATTAATGTAATTCAGAACATAAAACCATATTGATGTGAAAAGTTTCAAATTATTCATTCCAAGAGAAACACAACTTGAAGCATGAAATTGGAGCAAATAATTTATCTGCTAAGTCATAAATATAACTAATATTAAATGCTAATTGCGTATTTGACATGAAATTTATACACACTTTTCTAACACTGCATCATAACAATCTTGATAATCTGGATGTCATAATTTTAAATGATTCCTTTTCAAAATTGTTCATTCAAGAGAGGAAGACCTGTACCGGTGATAATTCCACCTGATGCCAAAAGAGCACTGGCATTCCTGGCATCGGTTAAGGGTAGACGAAGTTCTGGCATTGTGGAGGGAAACCCGTATCTTTTTCCAAATTCAGGTAATGATATAAATGAAACCTGAAAGCAAAATTAAAACTTCAACATAAAAAATGTATGTATTATTGTTTATCTTTGACTGTGTTTCCTCCTGCCATGTTGAGTTACTTCAATTGGAGAAGTAATGGATACATCTTCCTTGGATTTTGACCTCACACTCTGTTATCTTAGATTTTGATTATTGATATGACAAGTAGGATGTACTGTATACATATATGTAAGCTTTCCTTGCTCCATGGTTGTTCATAATCCAGGGTCCTTTGGAAGTACTTTTGTAGTAGCATGCTTCAAAAATATGCAAGTAAAGCTCAGAATTTTTATGCTCCTCTGAGATTGAAGATCAGGAGGCAGATTGTTTTTGGTCTGTACATGTCTGTCTTGTCTGTTTTAGAGATCCCATCAAATGACATTGCTTTATCTTAATAAGATCTGATATTATTTAATATTGGTCATATTCCATCAACATTTATATTAACCTGTGCCTTGTTTGCCTATTCTTTGTGAAAGGTTACTTGTCAGGGCATTGTTTCACAAATGAATCTTGTTTCAATTGATATAACAGGTGAATAATACGTAGGATCAATTTTTATATTTATGTATTTAACAGTGAATCACTATGCCAGGGCATACGAGTCGCTGAGATTTGTTTGTGGGGAACTCGATCTACGCGCACCACATAAAATCACATCTGTGAGCATGAGGAAGTACATGGCAACCTTGACTCAGGTAACATATTTTCTACTGTTAAACATTAACACAATGTAGTTAATTACAGCGAATAATATGGATATGCTTTTGTAGAATGACACAAACTCTAAGGACTACAACAGGAGTGCAAGACCATAATAAATTAATTCCAAGATTCTCATCCCTGCCTACCTACCTTGACTGTTTTGGCCTGCCCGGATTTTTTTTTTATTTCGTTGGGAAAATGTACCGACTATAATACAATACTGATCTCCTCATTTATACACAATCATACATTTTGTTAATATTTTCAAAATAATGACATGTCACAAGAGAAATACTTCCATTTTCTAACAAACATCAGAATAATTAAATTATAATTTCAATTAAGTTGCTTCTGTTTTATTCATGCTGGTAAAACATCGCTATTTTTGTTGTTGATTGACCGTGACTAAAGTGGGAGTAAAACAAATCTAAACATATAAATACATGGAAAGTGATAATGACCATCAAAGTAGCAATCTTTGTAGCCAATTCAATATTTTTTATTTCACATAAGAATCATGGTAAAGAAGTTAATCTGTCAAAAAAGTCAGTAGCTGCAGTGTGATAAACATGCTGTCGGCCATGTTTGTTTTATAATAAGGGAACCAACATCCGGACAAAGAATCTGGAATCAGACACTGAACATACTTTTATTTCATAATTTTTACATACATGTATTTACGAATATAAGAAATTCTTAGAAAAACGAACAAAAACCCTCCCCTTGCCCTGATTTTGAAGAAAATTGGATGAGAATTTAGGAATTAATTTATTATGGCCTAACCGATGTTATTCTGAATTTATTTACTTGTCTGTTAAACAGAATATCATAGAATTTGATTTCATGAGATCAGTTTCAACAATATTTTTTTTTTTTTTAACTTAAGAAGTTTAAGACGGAATAATGATGTTGATGCTTTGTATATTTGCACTGATTAATTTGAACTTTCTAGATGATGAACTTGGACAAAAATCAGCTTGAATGGGTGTACAGTCATCTTGGGCATACAAAAAAGGTCCACAAAGAACATTACCGACAGTTGAGTGGGCTTGTCGAAAAGACCCAGGTCAGCAAGATACTACTCATCCAAGATCTCAACCTGACATCCAAATTTCGCGGCCAGAAACTAGATGATTTTGACATTAGAGGTAATGATTTGTAGAGCACTTAAAAAGTATTCATAATAATTGGAAAAGTGTGATCTACAGTTAAATGGTGATCTGTTTCATGACCTTTCTAATAAATAATTTAAAGTCAGATACCAGTGCTGTTATTTTGAACCGCACAATTTTTAACAGATTATCCTCAGAAATTGACGTGAAACTTGACTCTTGCACTTTGTACCTTTTTTGTTCTATTGGAATAATTAGGGAAAGAACATTAGAAGACTGGAAGGACTGAGGATCAACTAATAATAACATCTGTAGAAGTTTTGTCATTGATTTTGTTTTCTTTCTATAACAGACCTTGTGTTGCCTGATGCGGACACCCAACTCCACTCTTCAGATCACCTGTGAGTATTTAGCTTGCCTTATCAAATTCAAGTGTGATAATGCTAAAATGCCATTTTGTGATATTTGCTGTCTAGGTATCTTGTTTTATGGTATGATTATTTTATTACATTAAATATAGGAAAATATCTATTTGATTTCATCACCTCATGGTGATGGTATAAGATTTCTAATCTAACATTGCATCATTTTTTTCACGAAAAAAAAATATGGTATACATTACAGGTTTTCATTTAATTACTTTCTTGTATCAGTTTGAGAGGGATTTCTAGCAGTGACTGGAATAAAACAACGTTCCTCGCCCTTGTTTGTAGCAGATTTGTTTGAAATTTGAGTCCTCTATTTTTTCTTCCTTAATGTAAGAAAAAGAAAATTCACTGGTTTCCCTTTAAATGTCAGATATATTTGACTCATATGGCAGATTTCAAAAATATTTTCACTCGTGCTTCGCATTTATGAAAATGTAAAAAATCTGCCATACTTGTGAAATATGTATATAATAGATGAAAAATCAATGTATGAATTCTATCTATTAGATCAATCCCAGTACAAAACATGGATCCAGAGGAGTGTATGTATTCAGAAGAGGCAGCCAATGAAGAGGCCACAGAGGAAAAAGACGAGGAAGAAGACGAACTGGATGAAGCAAAAGAGAAAACACCAAGGGTATCTCGCCAGCGGTGGACAGCTGCAGAAATGAAGGAGTTGAAAGAGTATTTCAGTGATTTTCTAAAAACAAAAACAACTCCCAGGCAAGCTGTCATCGAAAAAATGAAAAAGAAAAGTGAAAAGGCCAATGGTGTTCTCCACCTCAGAGCTAACCACCTTATCATCAAAAAAATATCCTACATAAATCACTCAAAGTAATTCCATAATTTCTGGAAAATACAAAGACTATTTGACAGTGATGTTTATTAGCCCACCATCATCAGATGGTGGACTATTCAAATCGCCCATCGTCTGTGGTCCGTCATCCGTCCTTACACAGTTCTTGTTATTGCTATTTCTTGAGTTATTAAAGGACCATTCTCAAATTTCATATGCAGGTTTCCCGTGATTCCTAGTTGTGCGTGGTCCTTTTTTTGCTAAAGAAAACAATATGGCCGACAGTCATCTTGGATTTTCATTGATGAATTTGTTATCGCTATTTCTGTGGGTCATTCTCAGATTTTATATGTAGGTTCCTCTTGGTCCCTAGTTGTGCATTGTACCTTTTTGGATTGATCTGGAAAACAATAAGACCGATAGACGGCATCTTAGATTTTGATATCTATAAAACAATAATATGGGCAACAGACAGATATTTTAGATTTGACAATGAAAGTTTGTTATCACTATTTCTTGAAGTACAAGATGGATCTTTTTCAAGTTCAATTTGTAGATTTCCTTTGGTCCCTAGTTGTGTCCTTTTGATTTTGAAGACTGATCAGAAAAAATCAGCAGGGAACCATCCTGGATTTGACATTTTAAGGTTATTATTGCTATTTCGTAGACAGAAAACAGAGGAAAGAAGAGAAAATAAGGGAAAATATCCAGGAATAATTGAAGAGCAAACGATGGTGGGTGCCAAGATTCCTCTTGGATATCTTGTTGCTGAAGTATAACTGCTCTGAGCAGAAGGGATTGTTGCATATCTGTGTTGATGGACTAAACAAACCATTTCAAATTGATTGAAAACCTCTCTGTAAAAGAAACTAATGCTTTTCACAAGATCCATGGTTTCTTGCATAATTTTTATTTTGTTACAAGAAGTAACTGAATCGGTAATTTGATGTCCTTTTTCCCAAGGATCTGTTTCTACCTTTTTATTTGATCCTGTATTTACTGTTCGAGTATTATGTATATTGCTTCCATTTCAACAAGTTATGATGATGCAGTAGATTGACCAGATTTGATTTCAGAAAGATGTTATGGAGTTGGATTTGGAGTAAAAGGATGATATACATATATATATATATATCTGTTGATTGACTATACAAAGCATTTCACAATAATTAACATTCATTTAGTATGAAAGAGATACATGATTTTACATTATGTCGCAGTAGTGACTAATTTTTTATTTTATTTCCTTTTCCATAAATTCCTATATTTCTTGTTGTTACTGTATAAGTATAACTTCTTAATGGTTACCAATTATAATAACACAGCAGATTTTGCTGGGCTTTTATCGTTTGAATGGCAACATATACTGTTTGCTTGAAGATGTTGAGAGTGTTGTCTGTACATGTTAAAGAGTCATAATCTGAATTAAATTCTGTTTGGAACAATTCTCAAAAGAAACAGAATTTCTTAATGCAGATTGCATTATATAGAGGAACATTTCATGGTGTCCCAATTGTATGTGCATTTCCAAAATTCCTTGAGTTTTTGTAGGAAATGTGGCTGCCATTTCCAGGATGGTATTAGTTACAGCCTGGTTTCGCCACATACAGCTTGCCAGTGCTGTCCAGGACTATCCTGCAATGCCTGGTACTGCTGGATTACTTAATTTTAATGACATGATTATGCTCCAAATAGCATATGATAATAGAAATAATGCATTGCACAATTTAACAACAATGAATCAATTAGAAAAGTGTTTTGGTTCATGTTTTATAGAAGACAAATTGTAGAAGAATTACAATTGATTTTTTGCTTTTGTCATTTTTTAAAACATTCACATTATTGCCTCCCACATGTATACAGATATAATCTGTGTGATAAAAAGAGAAAAACAAGATGGCTGCGGCATCCTATATGTGTGTCTCTCAGAAGACTACTTTAATTGGCCAATAGACCTTGAACGGATACTATAGTTATCCAGCAATAGGCCCATGCCTATTCATGTCCCTCAAAATTTGCACAATAAAAAGCTTGCAAGTACAATGTACCATTTGTCCTGTTTTTGTTAAGGTTCTGTAGAATAAATAATTGCAGGATAATAACAATAAAGATGGTCTCAGGGTTAGTATACGATGTATCAATTGTTTGCCACCTGATCAAGAATCAGTGTAATACTGGAATAAGAAAATGTCCAGAATATGCTAATGTAAATCTTTTAAAAGTCTTGACATTGGAAACTTTGCAATTCTTGACATTAACAATGAGTCAACGTGCAGTAAATAAATATGTCAACGTGTATGAAGTTGATCAATATTTAATTTACTAGTAAGAAATGGGGGAAAAAATGGGTCACAAAAATTATAGCTCTATAAAATGATACAGCATTGTAGACAGTCCCACAAGGTTTTGGGAATATTTAGGCCATATAGTGATGCACAAATTATTTACAGTCTCACAGATTGTGGACATAAAGAGACATTAAATTATTGACAAAAGGTGGCACACAACATTATGGACATAGTTGTACATACATGTAGTCACATAACTTAATGAACATGTTATCACAAAATACGGACATTAAAGAGTCACATATTTTATGGACATGACTAATCACAACATTTTTAGACATGGTTTCACACAAGTTACGAACATTGAAAAAGTCACATAAATTGTTGACATATTGTCACGAAAGTTACGGACATTGAAAAAGTCACATAAATTGTGGACATATTGTCACACAAGTTACGGACATTGAAAAAGTCACATAAATTGTGAACATGTTGTAACACAAGTTACGGACATTGAAAAAGTCACATAAATTGTGGACATATTGTCACACAAATTACGGACATGGAAAGAGTCACATAAATTGTGGACATATTGTCACACAAGTTAGGGACATTGAAAAAGTCACATAAATTGTGGACACAGTGTCACACAAGTTACGGACATTGAAAAAGTCACATAAATTGTGGACATATTGTCACACAAGTTACGGACATTGAAAAAGTCACATAAATTGTGGACACAGTTTCACACAAGTTACGGACATGGAAAAAGTCACATAAATTGTGGACATATTGTCACACAAGTTAGGGACATTGAAAAAGTCACATAAATTGTGGACACAGTTTCACACAAGTTACGGACATGGAAAAAGTCACATAAATTGTGGACATATTGTCACACAAGTTACGGACATTGAAAGAGTCACATAAATTGTGGACATACAGTGTCACATGACTGTCAATTCGTTAGAACCAGTTATATGGTCACACAATTTTCAGAAAAAACGTCACATAATATGGCAGTCACATAACTATCATTTCGTGGGTACGTCCGTCTTTCTGTCGGCTGTGACGTTTTTATGCATTTTAACCAGTTTTTATCCGAAAGAGGCAGTTTTTACCTTGGACAATTTTCAACTTGACGACTGTAGCGAATATGTATTGTGTGATAATTGGCAGACAGATCGTCCCAGATGAGAAAAACTTGTTTTATCCATTCTCTGTCCAAGACTGCAGGTGAACAGTACTCAGCGCCACAGAGGCGTCATTACTGCCATCTATAGACCAGTTACAAGAGTGCACATACTGGTTCTACATAAAGTGTGCTGAATTACCAGTCAGGGCATATGACCGTCCTGCAGACTATGTATTCTTTGACGTATCATCGTCAACAATGTCTGACCATTTATCTATGTCGGGCTCTCCCAGTACCATTCCAATGGATCGGAGTGACCTCCCTTTGCACACTTCCCTGGGGATCCGTTTCAAGAACTTACTAGCCTGAGACGTAAATGTCACAAGAACATTATTCTGGCATGTATAAACATTAAAAGTCTTCGATATAAATGTAATGAGCTTGCTGAAAATCTATACAAAAAGACTGTTGACATTCTGTTTATCGGAGAGACGAAATTAAATGACACTTTTAATCAGTCTCTTTTTCAAGTAGACGGTAACAGGACTTTCCGGGAGGACAGGACAGCAAGTGGTAGTGGTATCCTCTGTTATGTCAGGTCTGACATCCCCTGTAGACAGAGTGTGGAACTGTGGAAAGTCTTGTTCTAGAACTTACAGTCAATAATAGGCTGCTATGGGAGTTTATAATCCCCTTTCTAACCCAAAACAGCTAGTGTACAATGATTCAAGTATTAAATTGGATTCAATTAGTATCCATTATCATAATGTTTTAGTTGCAGGAGATCTAAATATTAATGTAGGTAAGACTGGTAGTGCAAATATCATCAGTGATTTATGTGATGTTTTTGATATGGAGAATATCGTTAAATCTCCAACCTGCTTTATGAAAAACTGTAATCCTAGCCTGTTTGATGTTGTTCCAACAAACCAACAAATGTATCTTTTTAACACTATTTCCTTTGATTGTGGTCTTAGTGATTGGCACCATATGACATGTACTGTATTTAAGGGACAAGGGCCAATCCCAACAAAGGAAAAGATTGAGGTGTTTTATGAACTTTGATGAGAATGCGTTCTCCACTGACATGGGTCGTGTGCCGTTTCATGTTGCCTATATATTCGATGATATCGACGATATATACTGGGTCCATGAGCGTCTCGTGACTGATGTCATCTATGAACATGCTCCCATCAGGGAGAGGTTAGTGAGAAAGAAGAACTGTCCTTTTTTTAATGCTAAACTTAGAAGAGCTATATATAAAAAAGAGTTCTTTGTAATCGTTATAAGAAACATCGTACCCAATATACTTGGGATGACTATAGGAAACAAAGAAACTAAGTTACTAAAATTAGTAGGCAATCTCTGCAAGCCTATTTCTTTGAACGTTGTTCTGGGGGGCCTCGGGCAAAAAAATTCAGGCCACCATTCAAGCCCTTCTTATCAAACAAGGGCTTGGCTGGTGACCAGAGGATTTTACTTGAGGAAGGTAATAGAATTATTACAGATCAAAAGGAAGTGTGTAATATTCTGAATGATTATTATGTAAATATAGCACAGGATATAGGTAATATGGGGGTAAATGTAAGTACTAACATAATTTTAGACAGGATACAGGACACTGCAAATAGTTCTGTTTTCTCTTTTAAGCCTGTATCCGAACACTGTATTAGTCAAACTATCTCTAAATCTAATGTAAAGAAGGCGACAGGAGTAGATGGCATCTCATCCAAATTACTTAAGGCTTGTTGTTCCAATATTAGCTTGCCTCTATGTACTCCAGTTAACCACAGTATTGCTACATCTTCTTTTCCAGATAGGTTAAAGCAAGCACAGGAATTAAAGGCCTGCCAGCATCCTTCCTTATATCTCAAAACTCTTTGAAAAAGATATTAGTCGACAACTTTCTGATTTTTTTTGAAAATATATTCCATCCTTTTCTAGGTGCTTTCAGACCAGGTTTTGGATGCCAAACGACCCTGCTGAGATTGGTGGAGGAAATACGCGCTTGGCCCTGGATCGCCATGAGTGTTCTGCTGCCATACTTATGGACTTATCCAAGGCCTTTGACTGCCTCCCCCACAATCTGCTGTTCAGGAAGCTGGAAGCATATGGGTTAGACAGTCAGGCAGTGAGCCTGATGTCCAGCTACCTGAGCAGCAGGTGTCAGCAGGTGAAATTGGCTTCAAATTGCAGCACCTGGTCAGGTATTCTTAAATGGGTTCCCCAGGGATCTATCCTGGGCCCTCTTCTTTTCAACATATTTATAATTGATAATTTTGATTGTGTTGAAAATTCATCTCTTTACATCTATGCAGATGATAATACTATGGGTTACACCCATAATGATCCTACTGTCTTAAAATCCATTTTAGAAAAAGAATGTACTCATGTTGTTGATTGGTTTAGTAAAAATGATCTGAAAGCCAATCCTGAAAAGTTTAAGGCAATCAGCATTGGAAAACGAACATTTGATAAAATAAAATCTTTTGATGTTGGAGGTGTATCTCTTAATTGTGAAAACAATGTCAAATTACTAGGTGTAAATTTTGATGATTTATTGAATTTTGACTACCACATCTCAGAGCTCTGTAAAAAAGGTCTCCGGACAATTATCTGTACTGAAAAGGAGAGGTAATTTTTTGTCTAAGGAAGGGAGAAAATTTATTTACAACTCATTCCTTTTTTCAAGCTTTAATTATTTCCCTCTCGTTTGGCATTTCTGTTCGGTAAAAAGTGTACGGAAAATGGAAAAAAAAT